GCTCATAACATAATGACTAAAGTTCCCAGAGCAAGTGATGTGTGAGAGAGAATGACCAAGATGAAATCCTTGATGTATTTTTAACACAGTCTAAGAAATAACATACCATCACTTACACTATGTTCTACTGACACACAGATCTGTGTGGAAAGGAGTATACAAAGACATGAATACCAAGAAGCTGGGGTCATTGTGGGCCATGTTGAGGGCTGGCTATTATACCAGGTGAAAAGAGTTTGAAAATGTAGGAAATTGCATTGATAATCAAAATATTTGAGAATTTGTACTGAAAAGTACATGAAAACTAATAAAAAATTTAAAGAGGCAATTTCTGAATTACATGAAAATACAGTGGTACAAAAGGGAGCAAAGGTCATCATAGAACATTACTTAGTCCATGTCCAATTTTATATACTTAAATATTCATAATCTCTTAACCAATTATGATGACAAATTTGTAAATGATGTGAGGAAAAGCATGAAAGAGCTACATCCTTGACTATTTTCTAAAACATTTAAATCAAGGAATATATTTATCAATATTAACATTATTTAAGAACATCAAAATTTTAATTTAACTCCATAGAAAATAGCTAAGTCTCTGTCACTGGAGATACACCAACTTGGAGACCCAGGCTAGTTAAATGATCCAGAGTTTCATATGCAGAAAAATGGTCTCTGCCAGAGGAAAAAATTTATCAGTATTATGACGCCATGACAAGTCTTTTCTCTTTGTTATTTTATTTTTCTGTTGTTATCTTTCTAGATATGTCAAAGGTTTGAAAAGTAGGTATAGAGTAGTATGGTGAGGTTGGAGGTACTGCTTTTGTTAACTGTGTAATATTTCATAAAGTACTCAGTCACTCAGGTGCTGATTCTTTCATTTAAAAATTGACAAAACTCTCACAAGTCATTGCATTTTATGATATATAATCTGTGAGGGATTGCACACATTTATCATGCATAACATTGGCTTCCTAAATATTAAAATAATATAAACCACAATAATCAACATTTGTTTAATAATTTATTAAAAATGAAGAGTATGAGGCATTTGGAGATGTCAAGCATATGTTTAATTGCACTTTACGCTATCATTACTCCTTTCCCATTTACTTAGCATAATGTAAAGAATTGATGAACATATCATAAACTTTCAAAACCAAATTCCATTTATCATTAGTATTTTTCAAAGATAATATATATTTAGAAATACTTTATTAATCTGCATTTTATTAATGATAGAAAATATAATTTGGAGATATCATTTGAGATGATAACCTGTAAAAAGTGTGAATGCCTTTTTTTAACTATTAAATCCAACAATTATGTACCATTACCAACTTCCAAATGCATGTAATAAATATAGCAAGGATTAAGAAGGGAAAAACAATTCTTGAGTTACTACCAGAGTGAGACTCAAGGCTTAGGAGAAGTTGGCTCTACAGATTTGTTAACCTCATTGCCAGACAATTAACATTAAGGACCCCAGGTACACTGCAGTTTAGAAGCCCCAAGAATTTTACTTATCAAAGGAAACAGTGCAGCTTTAGCATTCAGAGAGCAGACTCTGTATTTCCAAATACCAGCTCACCAATTATTAGCAGAGTGACCTCAGTTTTCTCATCTGTAAAATCAGGGTAGTAATATTTCCTGCCTTACATGGCTGCTGTGAAGATTAAATGAGACAATGCATGTAAAATGCTTAGCACATGCTTAGCTTTTGCTAAGCCAATTTGCTAAGCAAAATGCTTAGCCAAGATGAGTGAGCAAAGAATATTAGTTATTCTTTATATTCTGAATTAAGTCGAGAGAGAACATAGAGACCTCTAAAGAGTTCAGAACTGACTTCAAATTTGGCAGTATAAAATAGATGAGATACTTTAAATTTACAACTGACAATGTATTGACCCAAAGGCTGTGCACCAAAGTTCAGAACAGTTTATCCTACCTGATATTTCAATTTATTAAAGTGCATTTGTTGAACATATTCCCCTTTTGATCAATAATTGTATAATATGAAGATATATTATAAGTGAACCTTATTTCTTGAAACTTAGGTAGATTATGGATTCAAGACACGTTTATCAACTTGTTATTCCTTCTAAATTACCATTAAGTGGCTACTTAATTATATTCAGTTTATATTTTCTTGAAAGCATAAAAAATTTATTCCCAATCTGATCCAGGCAACCATATGTCCATAGTATGAGCAAAGCACACCCACAGCTGATGTTTAAACTAATGAAATGAGAAATGTATTACATATCTGCTCTGAATAGTACATTTATGCTGTTAGAGTGAGAAGCAGTAGTTTCCATCTGTACTTCAGAAATTAAACATTTGCTTCTGAAAGATTTTATTTTAATGGGAGCTAATATTAGTTTATTAGTAAAAAGCCCCAAGAAGAGTTTAAATGAAATCATGTTTTAATAATGAAAAAGCTATTTTCCTTAAAATACGCTAACTCTTTCTCACATCATCTCATAGGACAATGAACACTAGACCTTTACATAATTTTATGGTTTGGGTTTTTTTTTGTTTTTTTGTTTTTGTTTTTGCCAAGATATAGATAGGAAGATGATGGAACAGTTTCATTATTGTAGAGATGTATGTACAGATTGACGATGTTAATAAAGTTAAATTACTGTATGGCACTCTTGTTTAGTAGGTGAGAAAAACTCTCTTTTTTTTAGTGGGGAAGATTATGAATAAAGTTTTGTTAATGACAGGCCATCGGAGATTTGAAGACCACAGTTGCATTGTACATACATTTCTGCCTGGCTTTTATATATTATATTATATTCATTCATTTATTCATTTGTTCAATTACTCATTTCATTCAATTACCTACTATGAACCAGGCTGGGCATTGGGATGCAAAAAGGGAAAAGTTTCAAGAAACCATTGCAAAAAATTGTAAACAGTGTTGTGACATGACTCATTCATAAACAATTTATCAAGCATCTATTTGTGGTAGATACTGTTGTGCTAATGATGAGTAGGTTTTGTTAATAAGGTTATATTTAAAATGAATGTAAAGGATGAGAACTTAGGCAGGAAGACTATGGCGAGAACTGAAGCAGGGCATAATAATGACTAGAAGCAGCTGGCTAGAATTAGAAATGAACTTACATATATTTACATGGTTGAGGAAATTGCACTTGGTAAACTTTGGAAATAGGGTGAAGAAGAGTAGATCAAAGAAGATACTTTGATTTTTTTTTTCAGGGATTACTGGGCACTAAGATAGAAAATAGTAGAAGAAAATCAGGTTTTCCAGGTAGAATAAAATTGTGTTTAGGTTTAGGTAAAAAGAATTGGAGGTGTCATGAAAAATTCAGATAGAATTTTGCAATGGACTGTTGAATATGCAAGCCTGGAATTCAGGAAAAATGATCAAGATTAGAGATATTGTTTGGGAATTACTTTCATATAAATGGGAATTGTGGTTTGAGACTAGTTTTTTCTAGGCAAAGTGGTGTGAGTTAGCTTTCTCCTTGGCTTTGTTATCTCATCCACTGAAAGAAAAATACTATTTGATGGGATCTCACTTTAGAGTACTATTATCTAATGGAAGTTGCTGTAATGATGGAAATGTTCTATTATCTCCACTCTCAAATTAATAATCAATAGCTACATGTCTACTGAGCACTTCAAATGTGGTGTGATTGAGGAATTGAATTTTAAATTTCATTTAACTTTAAGAAATTGAATTTTCACTGGACAGTGTGCCTAGAGAATAGACAGGGGAGAAGAGCACAGTGGATAATCCTAATGGATATAGTGGCTAAGAAGTAGGGTATAGATGATACATTTTAGTAGGTAGAAGAAACAGGGGACTCATAATATATAAATTTCCATGTATATCACCAATGTTTCCTCATATCAAAAACATGACAGGTTGCAAGAGATGACATGCCATTCATGCAGATAAGGATTTGGATGTAGAAAAATAATATTTATTAATAATTTGTACCAGATAAAATAATTCCACCTTTCAAGTTTAGAATGACTGCTTTCATCGGTTTTTATCCTTCATCTTCATATGGGGCAGAGGTTTCTATAATATAATATAATATAATATAATATAATATAATATAATACAATATAATATAATAATTATAGTAGTTGAGTATGGGCTCTGCATTCTGGCAGTCTGAATTCAATCTCTGTTGCATTATATATTAGCAGAATGGCCCTGGACAGAATTACTGAGTTCTCTGTGTCTTTGTCATTCAACTATTAACTCTAAATTAATACCTGGGTTGTTTTAAGACTTAATCACAGTGGGCACTTAGAAAAGTGACTTAAATCTAGTAAAGAGTTAATGAATGTTTCTATCATTAACCTTAAAAGTAAACTTGGAAATTTTTAAATTGAGACTTTTGAAATCATATTAAAAAAAGACAACCTATGGATTGGCCTTACTGATAGATGTATCCCTACACTCATTCAATGTTGTGTTATATTAAAAACATTATGATTATAAAATCACCAATTTATTTGATGATATTTTAATAGGGAAAATATCTAACCAAAGAAAGTCTACTGTATTTTTATTATTTCTATGATACATAATTAGTATCTTTAATTAAATTTTCTTTTATTTAGCAACTCCAATTATATCTTTCCTTAAATATCTTTATGTTTACAATTTCAACTGTTATATATATCAAATCTTTTTGGAATTTCTTGGAGCTCATAATGGATGGGATCAAAAATGATTATATGACCCAGGCTTGGATAAAAACAAAAATGACATAAAAGAGAATATAATCTTTTAAAATATTTCCATAAAAATATCTCTTTTGTCATTCCTTTTACTTTTCAGAGATTCAAGTTTATACTGCCAGAATGTTTTGTCTCTCTACATTAAGAAATAATTAAAATTCTACTAATCCAATATTTATTTAAAATATGATTCTCAATTTCCTGGAAAGTCCAGAAATCAGAAAATATAAACAGGACAATCTTCCCTTTCTTATCAATTTTAACAGCAATTCCTGAGTTTGTAACACAAGTGAATGTCGCCTTGGAAGCCCTAAATAGAAACTCTTTGGATGTGTTTGATGATAATCAATTTGTGGACATCTCAAAGAAGATCTATGATACAATTCATGATATCAGATGCTCAGTCATGATGATTCGGGTAAGTTTGCTTTACCTTCCATTTAATTATTCGACACTCTTTACCATCTGGAATGCCTGGAATGGTTATAAGAAATGTTTTATTTCTATGCCATAATGTCAACATTGAAATCCAGTAGAATTTAGAAATTCATATGCATCCCAAAGTCAGATATACTGTCACAAACAATACTTTTACTTGTGTATTTGGTTATAACTTATGCAAATAAGCACCTTTAACTGTCCTGTGTGCAGAAATGATAAAAGTTGTATGCAGAATTTGTTGAGCTGTCACATAGCATGATCAGGAGCCAAAGAAAAAAATGCATAAAGTAATTTGCTTTCTTTTCTTGGAAAGAAAGTATCAGATTTTTCTGATCACTGTACTGAAATTGGTAGGGAAAGGTCATCACAACAAGTTATTTCTATGGCCAATCTTTTTCATACTAGATCAGAGAATCACAGTGTTCTGTAACAAATCTCTCTTCTAGCTGCCAGGAACAACTGCCCCAGTCTGGAAGTTGTCTCTGGGGAAATATGTGCTATCTTCCCAAGTATAAGTCTGCTTTCCAAGAGGAATCCACTGGTTGTGGGCGCAGCGCATATACAGAAACCAGGATTATTTGTTTTTACTAAAATGTTAATGTGCACTCTTTTTTAATGTTATTCAAAAAGCAATGGACATTCTTGGGAAAATGTATAGGTAATGATATAGAGATACTTTATCTTAAGATAGGTTTACCTGAAAGTAGACACCTTAGTAAAGATACATGTTACCACTAGTCTATTTAGGAACAAGTGAGACAGAAAAAGTGAGGCAGGAAAGGAAAAGAAACTGGTAAGTGTATGTATGAGTCACTATGGGCAACTGGGGCTTGATACTGCTGGGAAACTTTGGTGGGGTATGCTGTAGACCATGCCTCAGAACTATCTCAAAAATCCAATTTATCTACCTATTCATCCTTCGTTAAAGGCTACCCCTCTTCAGAGGTATTACTAGAGCCTTCTGCCTCAGCCATTCAAGCCCTTGTAGCCAAAATATACAAACTTCAGGTAGAGTGGCAGGTGTTTGCAGTAAGAAGATTCAGTAAGACCAGTGAATGAAATTAATTATGAATAGAGTTAAGTTTGAAGGCCTCTGGATTTGACTGTTCTTAAGACTATAAGATGGAACTAGAAGTGCCGTTGGAGATACAGGAGGAGCATCAATAGCACACAATGGGCCTGAATGTCATAGTTAGGTTACACTGAGGAGTCCATAAATATTGAATCGTTTGAGGACCTTGAAAGGAAAGGGGTCAAAAAAAGTCAAGGAGCTTGGCAGGCTTTTAGAGAAAAATTGTAGAGAAAAACTAAAGGCGTCAAAATATATGATCTACTGCTTCAGAGCTCGAGAAAACCTGAAAGCAGGCCAATTATACATATAAGAGGGAAACTTCAGGATATGTATTTGTGAGCACCCTGGAAGTTGTTCCTATGTGATTGAGAAGTGTGGCCCTCATTTCTCACTGTGGTACCAGTGCTATATCTGAATTGCAAAGCTCCTTTAACAAATGCATTCTTCTAACAAAGGGTTTCCTACCTTACCTGTGTGCATTAGTGGACTAGCAATAACCCAGCGTTAGGAGGATAGGTAGAGCTAGGACAGAAACACTGAAAGTGTGAAGAAATATCATGAACTTTAGCAAACAGGCTTATAACCCCTACATTTCCAGTATCCTGGCTGGATATTTGAGAAATGAAATAGCATAGGTGAACCAGGGCTGGGAATGCATTTTTTTTTTTCCTGCATAAGCAATACAAAAAAAGTTTTATAAATAGCTCCCATTTGGATGTTCCATTATTTTAAAATTTTCTTATTATCAAAGAGGCTTACTTGAAGTACATCAAATTATTTTCCCATCATTTCTAGCAGTCCTCTGTAGGGCAGAAGAATTTATTGTAATTATTAATATTTTTAGAGGGCAATAATTTTTCTTTATAGTCATCTCTTTTTTAAGGTAAATGCTTCCATTTCTTTTGCACTTCCTCATAGGAATAACTTAGTATTTTGTGTTCTTTGCTAGCCCTTACTTAATTTTCCAAGAAACTTCTCAAATGAAACTATCAAAAAAATACTCTAATTAGGACCTGTTAATTAAAGAGGAGGACTTGTTCTTTATGTTATTTCTATTAATAGAGTCAACTGCTGTTACCTTGTTTCCCCCCTCTTAAACACCATGACTATTGGATAGACAAAGACTTCCTTTTATTTCCACATTTTTCTTTATGTGTATATTTCTTTTCCACTTTGAGTTGGTGTGTTTGCTCTTGGTCCAAAATTGTAATCCAATTAAATTTTATTGTATTTTTAAATGATACTTTATATAATTTATCAGGTTGCTCTTAAATTTGATTGTTGACCATACCTAAATTAGAATCAGTTATAAACATGAGATTATAACTTTATTTCCTTCATCTAGATTACTAATAAAAATATTACAATACACTGGCTCTTCATCTGACTGGACTCTTGGTTAGATAGCTCCAGTTAAGGACATTAATATCAAGAGCCGTTAGAGTCTCACATTTGTGTAGTTAAGATCATATCCCTAAGTATGTGGTTGGAAAGAATGGTCCATTTTACATAAACTCTTTTTACATTAGGAATTTACTTGGTTGCTAGAATTGGGACATAGTTCAACATAAAACTTCTGTTTATATCACCAGAAAAAATGTTTGTGTCTGATTATACTCTACCTACAGAAATGGATAGATTTATGGCCTTCACTGGAATTATATATAGTTTTCTTAAGTTACATTAAGTGCACCGTCATGATTTCTCTCAACTTCTTTCACTATCCTCCATAACTTCCTTTCCTTATGACTGCAAAAATCCTTTTGCTTTATATGTCTTGTGGACCAAGCTGCTGTTTGTCTCTCTGAAATCTTACAATCAAACTACTGGGGAAAAAGGCCCTGATGGTGTCAGTTACTAACTAGTATGGAATTAATGTATATCTCATACAGTTAGAAGTCTGTGGAATTAGGTTCAGAAATGAAGAGCTAGTGAAAAACAATATTGTGTTAAATCAAAAGACATGCCTTCTAGTCTGCTCTGTGTGTTGCCATCAATACTGTTACTTCACATGATATTGTTGGTTTCTTCACTGTAGGGGGAAATGAAAGCATGTAATTGAGTTACTATTTTAAGCCGTCATTGAACTTAAAAAATGAAGGACAAGACTTTGGTCCAAAGATTAGGAATAGAATGAAAATGCTCATACTCCAATGCAGTAGAATGTTGTAGATGTTCTAACCAGTACAGTAAATGCAGAAGCAAAAGTAAAAGTATATGGATTACAAAGGAAAAAGTAAAACTGTCTCTGTTTGCAAATTATAAAATCAACTACGTTGAAAATCCTAAAAAAATATTTACAGTAGCCAAAAACCCCACCCTTATAGAATTGCTAAATTTTATCAAGATCGGGAAATACAAAGTCAAAATACAAAAACATATTTTATAATAGAAAGAAGGAAAAATAGAGCTAAGGGCAAAATTAATAAAATAATAACATACAATAGAGGAATACAATGAGACTCATATCTTTCTATATAATAGTAACAATTAAAAAACATATCTTTTGAAAATATAATATATCAAGGTCTGGCTGAGTAACTCAGTTGGTTAAAGCATCATACTGATACAATGAGGTTGCAGATTCCAACCCTAGTCAAGGTACATGCAAGAAGCAACATAAATAAGTGGAACAACAAATAGATATCTCTCTCTTTGTCTGTTTCTCTGTCTCACTCTCTGTATCTCTCACCCTTCCTCTCTCTCCAAAATCAATAAATAAAAATAAATAATAAAAAGTTTAAATTAAAAATACAATGTATCACAGTATGAAAAATAACAAAATAAACTTAGTGATGAGTTTAATAAATGCATAAAAGATCTTTACTCTGAAAATTACAAAATATTATTAGGAAATATTAAAATGACAAATATTTAGAGAAATTTGTCATATTCTTGGACTGAGAAATTATTAAGATATTAATTATCCCCAAATTGATTTACAGATTTAATACTGTGCCAAACAAATTGCCAGCAAACTCTTCTATGTAAACTGATAATCCAAGGTGGTCACATGGGTGTACACATTTGTAAAAACTCATCAAACTGCACCTAAAATTATATGTTATGTTGATAAAGTTGATTTAATAAAACAATGTTTTACCCAGCAGCCAACACCTTAAAAAATAGGTAATTTTAATTTGATAAAGTCCTACCAAACTGTATTAATTAAAACTAATTAGAAAGGTGTTCATGGACTACTGAAACTGTTGATATTTAGAATATTATAAAATTAACACATTTCTACTTTATAACTGGCTGCTTACCAAATATTTCTAATGTATGGGACCTCTTTGTTGATTTTTAGTTCTCATGTTTGTGAATCATAATGTGTTATCTTAGATCAAGCCCACTTATGACCTAGGGGCAAAATTTGATCTACCATCTGTTTTGTATGGCCTATGGGCAAAGACTGGTTTTAATATTTTTAAATGGTTGAACAAAATTGTAAGAAGAATAATGTTTTCTGACAAATTGAATTATATGAAATTCTAATTTTAGGAATATAGCCACACTCATTCATTCATTCATTCGTTCATTCATTCATTCATTTTATATACAATATATTACTTTTTGGGCTCCAGCTGCAAGGTGGAATAAAGACAAGAAACTGAATAGCACACAAATCCTAAAACATTTACTGTCTAGTTTATTACAGAAAAAGTTCCCTGACACTTGTCTTAGATACTCTGTTTCAACTCTTTACCAAACACTTGACTGGCTTTTCCAGGGATTCAATTGTCCTCTTCATTAGTTTCCCCTTATAAATCCAATTGTCTAAATTGTTTGAATATTAAAATAGTTTTTTCTTCCAAGTTCCTCGCTAATTCTTCCTATTCCTAGTCTGAGGTGCCAGGCCTCTTTCTTCATCCTCCTTTCTACCCTGAGGGCTTCCATTCTCCAAG